GAGCGCGGCCCGAGGCGGGGCGGGGCCGGGCGCGATGCCGTGGTTCCCGGTGAAGAAGATCCGCAAACAGATCAAGCTGCTGCTGCTGCTGGTGCTGGTCACCTGCGCCGCGTGGCTCACGTACGTGCACCTGAGCCTGGTGCGCCAGGGCCGCGCGCTGCGCCAGCGCCTGGGCTACGGGCGAGGTACGGGGGCGCGTCCGGGGGCGGGGGGCGGGGGCACCCCGAGGAGCGCTGGGGGGGGGCCGGGCCTCCGCACCGCGCCCGGAGACCCCCGGCCGCCCGCCCTTCCCGGCTCTGCGGTATTTGGGCAGGGGGCGCGGTTCGGCCGGGCCCGGAGCCCGATGACGTCAGCAGTGACGCCCGCGACCCTCTTGGGGAGCGTCCCCGAACCTGGGCCGACTCCGGGATGTGACCTGGAGCCAGCAGTGACGGGGTGAACAGCGGGCTCTCAGGGAGATCGCCCGCAGGCCCTGCAGGCTGGGCTTTTCAGGAAGGCCTCGCACCCCCACCGCTTGTCTCCTCAGTTTACCCGTCTGCTGGGGGAGAGAGGAGGGAGGGGTCCAGCCTCCCCTCGGGGTGGGGGTCGGGGAGGGTTTGGAGGGAGCTGACTGGTGCAGTTGGAAGGCTTCCTGAGGGGTGCCCTAACTAACCCTGTGACGAGGGGCAGGCTTTTGTGGTGGGGGTGGGGGTGGGGAAGCACAGTGATGGGGGTCCAGCCTGGGGACCCCTGAACTGCCTGGAGTAAACTTTCCCAGGCTCCTCCAGCTCACACTCCGGTGAAGACAATAAACCCACAAAGCAAATCAGTTCCTGGTGAGTGTGGTGCGAAAGAGCCAGGGCAGGGGGGTCTGGATGGCCCCTTGAAGGTGGTGCTGCCCGCCCACGACATCTGGGGGGAGAGTGTGCCTGGCAGGAGGGATGAGCCTGTGACAACCTGGTGGGAAGGGGAGAAGCAGGGAGCCTGGAACCTGGGGAAGGGGGAGGGCATGGGAGAGAGGGAAGCACCTCAGGGCACGAGTAACACTCCCCCCCACCCCCCCCACCCCACCTTAAACCTCCCAGCAGAGGCCGGAGCAGAAGCCTCCTCTGCCCAGGCAGGGAAGCTCCCAGCCGGGCTGCCCCTACCCCTTCTTAGGAAGTGTGGTGCTGGGTGCCCTTAGGGTGAGAGGTCAGGGGTGTGGGTCCCGCTTCCTCACCCTCTTCCTAACAGTGACTTTGGCCCACGGCACCCAGGGCCACTCCACTGAGGGCCTCCCTGCTCGGTTCCCTTCTGCCTCCTTTCCATGTGCCTGGACACCTGGCTCCACAGACCTCCCAGGCCAGGGGTGTGGAGCTTGTCCCAACCCCCCAGAGTCTACACCCCTCACAGCCACCACACCCATGAGGGGTCCCCAGCACAGCTCAGTCCCTAAAAGAAGCCCCCCTCCCCCAGCTATCAGCAAATAAGGCAGGATCCCAGATCGTGACCCAGTGACACAGAAGAAAACCCACCCCCCTTCCCCAGCCACCTCTGTGGCTTTCTGAGTAACCGCAGTCTTCACCAACTGACTTCCTGAGTAGCTGGGGAGTCTAGCTCAGCAACTGGGAGGGAGTAGAAGTGTGGGAACCCCATTTCTGAGGGCCTCTCTGCTCTCAGCTGGACCAGCAGACTGCCCTTACGACTCCTGGGTGAGCAGGAGCTGTTCAGCGTCCTGGAAGGTCAAACTCTCATGGGGCACCTTCCAGGAAAGCCCCAGCCCATGGGTCCTGGCTCTGGGCTGCAGCCTCTTCGTCCAGCCACCTGGGCTCCCACCAGGGTAAGGCTTGTGAGAAGCGGAGCAGCTGGACACGCCCGAGGACTTTTTGACTGTTGGGTCAGTGCTGTCTTCACTTCCAACCGGGCAGGCAGCACTGGAGCGGGACAGGGGGGTCTACCTTCCTGGTATCCTGCAGGATACCCATGTGGCAGGAGCCCTCTGGGGATCTCACTGTGCTGGACAGTGGTGGAAGCCTGGGCTGGGACCCCACCACAGAAGGCTCCTGGTACCCATGGACTTAGCTTGGTGGGCAGGGAGCATAGGGCCAGGCTGGGGGGATTTGGCCAGGAGCCTCTTAGGGGCTCACCTCCCAGCTGGACGGAGGACAGTGGGGGAGGAACCCAGAAGAAGGAGCAGGTGGGCAAGTACCACAGGGGTCCTACAGGCAGGAGACTAAGGTCAGCTCCCCTCCCCCGGAGAAGGGACTCAGGCCAATTGTGTCCACACAGGAATCTGTGGGTCTGGATTGAAGGATGGGCATGAATGTCGAAATTCCGGCTTGCCCTGGAGCAGAGGGGGTGCTCCTGGATTGGGTATCCCTGGCTGGGAGCATGGGGCTGGGGGCAGAGGTGGGATATAATAAAGCCTCCCAGAAGAGCCTTGAGTCCCAAGGTGTGGCACACCCCTCCCCCCCAGAGGACAGGGTGGGATGTTCAGGTCCACAGCTTAGGCAAGAAGCCTGGGAATTTGAGGGAGTTAGGGGCATGGGGATGGTCGGCCCTAGGATAGGGGTTGTTTATAAGGGTGCCAAGCTCTGGAGAGAGCCACAGACAGACCTAGGAGGGGTTCCTCAGGGTCACAGTCGCTGGAGCCATGTTGGCCCCCAGCCCCCCCAGCAGCCAGACCAGCATGTCTGTTCCTCTTCTGTCCAGGCTGGTGCCAGGACTCCTCTGGTCCCGAACCCCTCTTAAGGCCAGCAGGTGGCACATGTGCTGTGAGCAGGGGCTGGCTTAGCCTGAAGACAAAAGCACCAGCTTTCCAATAACAAGCGCTAGCACTGACCCTTAGCACGCAGTTCTGATGAGGGAGGGAGACGCGGAACCCTCAGGACGAGGGAAAAGTGCTGAGGGCGCAGCGCAGTAGTCCTGGGGGCCTTCCCGGAGGCAGAGCCGTGGTGAGGATGGCCAGATAAGTGTGTACGTATATGCATTAGCACGTGCACACACATGACTCTGCTCCCTGGCACCAGTCAGGGGGCTAGGAAAAGCCAGGTAGAGGGCTTGAGAGGGGGCTGCCCACCCCAGAGGCGGAATGTGGAGGAAGGACCCAGAGAGCAGTTGCACAGCCACAGGTGGGGCCCTGGGCAGCACGGGGAGCAGACTGAAGTGCGAAGGCTTCAGCAGGAGACACTGCTGTCCCCACCTGACCCCCAGCAGCAGGGGCCGCCTCGGAGCGAGCCTGGGCCCCAGTCATGCCCCACGTGCCGCCCACAGATGGTGAGAAGCTGAGCGGTGTGACGGAGGGCAGGGGCGTCCGGGCTGCGCTGTCCACACAGAGGGCGGAGGACTCCAGCGAGAGTCGGGAGGAGGAGCAGGTGGTGAGCAGGGCTGTGGGAAAGAACACGTGTGTGCGGCACACGCACACATCCCTGAGGCCACTAGCGTGCCCGTGGCCTCGGGACCCGTGGGCTGGGTGGATGGAGGACGCGGGTGCAGGCACGGAGCACAGCCCAGCCTGCAGTTCACGTCCGGCGGGCATGGGTGTGCACGAGCGTGCTGGCCAGTGCCTGCCTGGGCAGGTGTGGTGAGGGTCCCCTGGGTGTGTGTGGTTGGGGTACCATGGGTTCGGGATTTTACGGCTGGATGTGTGCAGGAGAGTCCTCGTGAGGTGTGTCCCGGTGTGTGTGTGGGGTGGGGGGGTGACCCCTCCCTGTCTTCCCATTGCTCTTGACCCTGGTGCCTTTTCTGTCCCGTAGCCGGAAGGACGGGACCCAAACATGCTGTTTCCTGTGGGGGCTGGAAAGCCACCCCCTCTGAACCTCACCCATCAGGTTCCCCCGTGGTGGGAAGAGGTGAGCTCTGCTTGGCTTGTGATGAGCTTCAGGGGAGGGCGGGGGGGGGGGGTGCTGTGCAGAAGGTAAGGCCCACCTCCCGCCCCCCAGTACAAGGGGCAGGTGAACCTGCATGTGTTTGAGGACTGGTGCGGAGGCGCCGTGGGCCACCTGAGGAGGAACTTGCACTTCCCGCTGTTTCCACACGTGAGTGCCAGTGGTAGGGAGCTGGCAGGGGGTGGGGGGCAGGGCAGGACAGGGAAAGGCTTTGACGTCAGAGGCCGCTGTCCCCCCAGACTCGCACCACCGTGAAGAAGTTGGCTGTGTCCCCCAAGTGGAAGAACTACGGACTACGGATTTTCGGCTTCATCCACCCGGCGAGAGATGGTGCGGGGGTGGGGATGTGCCAGGGAGGGGGCAGCAGGAAGGGCCCCACACCACCCCCCCTGAGCCCCTGTCCTGTGGCCTAGGAGACGTCCAGTTCTCTGTGGCTTCGGATGACAACTCTGAGTTCTGGCTGAGCCCAAACGAGAGCCCGGCGGGTGCCCAGCTGGTGGCCTTTGTGGGCAAGGTACCCTTAACCCCACAGCCCTCCCGCCCCAGCCCCTCCACCCACACCCCTATCTGTCTTCACTGGGCCTCCTCCGCCTCCGTCACCTGTCTCCTCCAGCTTCTGAGGGACGGGGACTGGATGAGGCTGGTGCCCCCAAGGAGAGGGTGAACCCCCCCACCCTTCTGTATCGCTTCCCAGACTGGCTCAGAGTGGACAGCACCTGGGGAATTCACCAAGTTCAGCTCGCAGGTGTCCAAGCCCAAGCGGTGAGTGACTGGGAGCGGGTGTGCGCCGGGGTGTATTGGGGGGCGGGGGGGGGGAACATGCACCAGCACACAGGAAACCACTGCACCTGTACTGTCGTGGCCACACTGCCATCGCCCCGAGGGACCACCCCTGAGCACCCCCCACCTTTTCTGGGGTTTCTGTTTGGGGCTCCGGGAGCATGGTAGGAGCATGTCCCCCTGACCGCTTATGTCCCCAGGCTCATGGCCTCCCGGAGGTACTACTTTGAGCTGCTGCACAAGCAGGACGACCGAGGCTCAGACCACGTGGAAGTGGGCGTGAGTGTGGCCTGCCATCCGTGGGCTTCTGGAGAATCCACGTCCCTTCCCCTGCTCTCTCTGCTCCCAACACTCCCTGCAGGACAATGGTGTGGGTCCTGCCCCCTCACCCCAGGAGTTCCCATCTAGTTAGCAAAGCAGATACTCAGGGACGGGGGCGTCCAAGATCAACTCTGCCCAGGGAGGCTTCATGGAGAAGTGGTGCTTGAGTAGAGTCTTGAGAGATGAGACATTCGTAGGGAGATCCAGTGAGGAGAGAATTGGGGTGCCTCAGGTGAACTCCAGATCTCAAGAACAGCAGAGGAACAGCAGAGTTCTTCCAGAACTCCAGAGGATCCAGTGGCCAGGCAGGGCCTGCAACGCGAACCCTGGACAGCCCAAAGCAATTGGACTTGCACTTCAGGAAAAACCCTTTGGCCACTGCTGCAGAGAGCCTGGGCGGGGGCGGATCTTTTAGACATGGTCCCTGAAGCAGGGAGGTGGGGACTGAGCCTGGCTAGGGGAGATGGGGCATTTATCAACGTTTATTTATTTTTGGGGACAGAGAGAGACAGAGCATGAACGGGGGAGGGGCAGAGAGAGAGGGAGACACAGAATCGGAAACAGGCTCCAGGCTCCGAGCCATCAGCCCAGAGCCCGACGCGGGGCTCGAACTCACGGACCGCGAGATCGTGACCTGGCTGAAGTCGGACGCCTAACCGACTGCGCCACCCAGGCGCCGAGATGGGGCATTTATCGACTGTGTGTGCTAGGCATCAACCCAGCTCAGCTGGCAGGGAGTCCAGGCTGGAAACGCAGGCTTGGGGTGATCTTGTGGAAGCCAAGGGGGTGCCAAGAAGACCCAGAATGAGCTAGGAAGGGAGAGGGCCTGGAACAGCTCCCAGGAACCCCAACTTGAGGGAGGGAGGAACCGAGTCTGCAAAGGAGGAGACTGAGAAGGAGCTGCCACAGGAATGGGGAAACAGGGAGGGTGAGGTCCAGTGAGGTGAGGGGTAGGGGCCTCTAGAAGGCTAGCTGTGACCGCCAGGAAGGCGATGGCTGCAGCATGGGGAAGGAGGCGGTGGCAAAGCCATAACCAGCGGGCAAGGAAGTGCTCAGGGTGTCAGGAAAGGCCTGGAGGGAGCATGGGAGGGGGGTGTCCCATCCACCAAGAACCCCTCTGCCATCCAACCTCCAAGCTTCCTGTGCTCTCGAAGGGGCTGTCCCCACCTGCTCCCCGTGCCCACGTTCAGAAAAGACCCATTCCTCTCCAGCTCCAGGACCACAGAGCTCTGGTCCTGACCGCTCTCTCCCTTCCCTAGTGGCGAGCCTTCCTGCCAGGCCTGAAGTTTGAGGTCATAGGCTCTGCTCACATCTCCCTGTACACAGGTGTGGAGCCCAGTGCCTCTTTGGGGAGCGGGGGTGGGCTCCTGATCTGCGGTCTCTTTGGGGTGGTCTCTGGATGTGGGTGGGGAGGGGTGAGGAGTGGTCCTTGGGTACTCCTGAGGACCCCACACATTCCTCTGTCCCCAGATGAATCGTCCCTGAAGATGGACCACGTGGCCCATGTCCCCCAGTCTCCAGCCAGCCACGTGGGGGGGCGCCTGCCACAGGAGGAGCCCAGAGCTGACATGCTGCGCCCAGACCCCCGAGACACCTTCTTCCTCAGTGAGAGGGGACCGTGGAGGGGGGGAGGGGGGGGCAGGGATACCCAGCCTGCCGCTCTGTGACCACTCCTCCCACAGCACCTCGGGTGGAGCCTTCCAGTCTGGAGAACGTGCTGGAGCCCTGCGCCTACGCCCCCACCTATGTTGTCAAGGACTTTCCAATCGCGAGATACCAGGGGCTGCAGTTTGTAAGTGCCCCTCACCAAGACCTTCCCTGAGGCCCCGGCCTCCCGCCCAGGGTCCCCTGAGCCCTCTGCCCCGCCCACAGGTGTACCTGTCCTTTGTCTACCCCAATGACCACACGCGCCTCACGCACATGGAGACGGAAAACAAGTGCTTCTACCGAGAGTCGCCGCTGTACTTGGAGAGGTGGGCGGGGCAGGCAAGGGATGGGGCGGGGGGCAGCGGCAGGTAGGGGGGGGGTCCTCTCTGATGCCCCTCACCGCCCCAGGTTTGGGTTCTATAAATACATGAAGATGGACAGGGAGGAGGGAGAGGAAGATGAGGAGGAAGAGGTGCAGCGCCGAGCCTTCCTCTTTCTCAACCCGGATGGTGAGTACCGCCCCCCGCGCGCGCGCCCCCCAGCGTGTGCCCACCTGGGCGTGGAGTGCGCCCCCCCCAGCCTGTGCCCACCTGGGCTGCTTCCCGCAGACTTCCTGGACGATGAGGAAGAGGGGGAGCTGCTAGACAGCCTGGAGCCCACGGAGGCGTCCCCCCTGCAGAGCCGCCGCCACCTCCCCCTGCCCGCGGCCCCCACAGCGCCCGGAGCCACGCCCGCCCCGCCGGTGCCTCCCAGCCCCGGAGACCTGCCCACCACCCGGCGCTCCCGGGCGCTGAGCTGGGCCGACCGGGCCGCGCGCCCCCTGCCCCTCTTCTTGGGCCGCGCCCTGCGCCCCCGAGCTGCGGCTCAGCAGCAGCCCCCGAAGGTGTATGTGACGCGGGTGCGGCCGGGACTGCGGGCGCCTCTCGGCCCACGCGGCCCACCCTGGCCGCCCTTCCCCGGAGTCTTCCTCCGCCCCAGACCTCTTCCCCGGGTGCAGCTGCGGGCGCCCCCACGGCCGCCGCGGTCTCGAGGCCGCAGGACCGGTGGTTCCCCGGGCGCAGAGCTGAGGCCCCCGGCCCGGGCGCAGGCCACCCAGGGGAGCCTGGAGGGCCAGCCGCGCTTGCTGGGACTCCCAGCTCCGACCGCGGCCGCGAACCTGTCGTCGGAAGCTCAGCCCGTGACCTCCTTCCTGAGCTTGTCCCAAGTGTCCAGGGCGCAGCTGCCTGCAGCGGGCGATGAGGAGGAGGCAGACGATGACGACGACGGGGCGCGGGGCGAAGATGAGGACAGCGAGGAGGCCGCGGGAGCCCCCCGAGGCCGCTGGCGCGAGGACGCCATTGACTGGCAGCGCACGTTCAGCGTGGGCGCCGTGGATTTCGAGCAGCTACGCTCTGACTGGAACGACCTGCGCTGCAACGTGTCGGGAAACCTGCAGCTGCCCGAGGCCGAGGCCGTGGACGTGGTGGCCCAGTACATGGAGCGGCTCAACGCGCGCCACGGCGGGTGCGTCCGGAGTGTGCGCGTGGGAGGGGAGGCCCTAGAGGACGTGCGCCTGGGAAGGGGAGCACCTGGGGGTTGGTGAATGTTGGGGGGAGGGCATATGGGAGGGGAGGCTCTGGAGGGGGTGCCTGTGAAGGGGAAGCCCTGGGAGGTGCGTGTGGGAGGGGAGGCCCTGGGAGGATGTGCGCCGGGGAAGGGGAGGCCCTGGAGGGGTGAGTGTGGGAGGGGAGGCCCTGGGGAATGCGTATAGGAGGAGAGGAGAGGGGAAGGGGGCGTTCCTGGGAAGGAGAGGACCTGGGGGGTGAGTATGGGAGGGTCGGGGGGTCATGTAGGAGGGGAGGCCCTGGAGGAGGTGAGTGTGGGAGGGGAGGCCCTGGGGGGGGGGGGGGGGGGGGGGAGGGAGGCCCTGGGAAGTGTGTGCCTGGGAAGGGGAAGTCCTGGCCTCTGTGGAACCTTCAGACCTTCCCAGGGTTTAACAGGGTGCTGGTCTGGGCATGGCACACGGACCTCCAAGGGAAGAGCTGTCTCTCCCTGTCTCTTCCCTGTCTCTTCCCTGTCTCCTGGGGCTTCTTAGTGTCCAGGGTCCCTGTTCAGTGTTAGAAGCCTCACCTCCTCACAGGCACCCAGGGTGGGCTCCCTTGTCCTGAACCTCCAAACCCACCCTGTCACCTTGGGCCTGAACCCAAGAATGAATCTGAACCAGCCAGGGCTCTCTTCCAAGTAGAGACCCAAAGGTCAGGCTGAGAGTCCCTGGACCCCTCCTCGCCTTCTGGTACAGGGCTCCTGGGTCTTCCCAGAGGGTCTTTCTCCAGCTCAGGGGAACGCAGGGCTCCTGCCCCATTGCTGCCTCTGATCCCCGCCCCCACCCCCCAGGAATCCAGGCCTGTCACCACCCCCATATGTAGGCTAGCGGGGCAGAGAATGGGAGGCCCCGAAGTTGGCCCCAAAGGAGACACTGGTGGGTTCTGTGAGCCTTAAAAGAGGAGTAGAACCAGTACAGACAGCACTGGTAGGCAAAGGCACTGGGGCAGGAGGCCAGGGGCCCGGTGTGCAGAGGACGGAGAAGGGGCCATCGTGGGCCTCGAGCAACCTGCTCAGGACTCCCTTTTTCTTGCAGACCGTACCAGGTTTCGAGCAAGACAGGGGCCGACCTGTTGGGGTTGCAGACAGGCCTGTTGCTGCCTTGGAGGGGAGTGGACAGGATGGGAAGCCCACAGGGGCCATGACTGCCTGGCTTGTGCCAGGGCAGCGATGAGATGCTGTGGGAAGGGCAGGGATTTGATTCTAGGTGGCTGAGTTCTTGGCTCAAAGCTTCGTGAGAGTAGGGTGTGGGTGGGCCTAAGGACTGAGAGTTCAGAAAGACCCAGAGTGTTTGGGGCAGAAAGTCCCTGACGCTTGGGGAGAGCACAGTGGGAATGGCGGGGTTTGCAGGGAGGAGTGGGGACTCCTTGGGGGTCACACAGGTAGGCTCCCATGGTCAGGGGGCTGCAAAGGGAGGACATTTGGAGAAAGGAAAAAGCCACTTTAGTCAAGGGCAGGGTCCTGTTTTCCCAGGATGAGAAGCCTCTGCTTGGTAACAGAGTGGAGGACGAAGGCGCTCAGCAGGGCCAGAAGGAGGGAAGGGGCACAAGAGGCTCAGGGTAGGCCCAGTGGCATCTTCCCCCGGGTCAGGATAGCCCCGGGGCTGGTGCCAGGAGAGGCAAAAGGGAGGCTTATCTGAGGAGCCTCGGAAAGAGCCGGGGAGGATTGGGGCAAGCTTGCAGATTGGATACCCCAGAAAAAAAGAGCCAGTGCGGGAGGAAGCCGGCTCACTCAGCACGAGGGGACGCTGAAGGCAAGCTCGAGTCGGCTTAAGGCCCTAGAATGTCAGTGTAAGACCAGCGAACCTCGTCCTGTGGACAGTGGGTGGCGCCGTCATAAAGGTCACTGTGGATGCGTGAGCGGTGACACGGAGACCACAGAGGAGGCTGCCCTAGGGAGGGGAGGCACGAAACGGGCGCCCGCCCTCTCGGAGCTCCCCGGCAGGACGCGGCGTGGTCGGGGTATGGCAGCCTGGGACACGAGGGAACTCACGGCAGCTGCCCCAGCCCGTCTTCTGAGTGGCCGCCTGGTTTTCTGGGGCTGGGGGCGACCCGCAGGGACACTCGGGGGGGGGGGGGGGGGGGAAGGGGGGCAGGGAAGAGGGAGGGCCGCAAGCTCGGAGCCCAAGCGTGCCGACCCAGCCCCCGCTTCCCAGGCGCTACGCGCTTCTGCGCATCGTGAACGTGGAGAAGCGCCGGGACTCCGCGCGCGGAAGCCGCTTCCTGCTGGAGTTGGAGCTGCAGGAGCGCGGGGGCGGCCGCCTGCGCCTGTCAGAGTACGTCTTCCTGCGACTGCCCGGAGCCCACGCGGGAGGCGCCGACGCCGACGGAGAGAGCCCGGAGCCCGCTCCCGCCGCCCCCACGCGCCCCGACGGCCGCCCCGAGCTCTGCCGGCCGCTGCGCCTGGCCTGGCGCCAGGATGTGATGGTACACTTCATCGTGCCAGGTGCGCGGGACCGCCTCGGGCCCGGGCACCTGGGACGTGGGCTGGGCTTCCCCGAGCCCGCGCGGCCAGTGGGAGCGCCGCTGGCCGTGCACCGGCTCCCGCGGAGTCAGGTCGGGGTGGGCTCAGCGGCACCACCTTCCTCCAGTGAAGAACCAGGCGCGCTGGGTGGCCCAGTTCCTGGCGGACATGGCCGCGCTGCACGCCCGCACGGGGGACTCGCACTTCAGCATCACCCTGGTGGACTTTGAGAGCGAGGACATGGACGTCGAGCAGGCGCTGCGCTCTGCCCGGCTGCCCCGGTAACAGCGCCCCCGCCCGGGACGGCCGAGCGCGTCTTGCCTCCCCCGCCCCTTCCGGGACGCGGGTCTTCTAGCCCCGGCCCGCCGGGGTCAGGGCCTGTGACCTCCTGCCCCCGCTCTCCTCCCCACCTCCCCCAGGTACCAGTACTTGAGGCGAACTGGAAACTTTGAGCGCTCGGCGGGCTTGCAGGCTGGAGTGGACGCAGTGGAGGTGCGTGGGAGGGTTGGGAGAGCAGGGAGAGCCCGTCCGGACCACCAAGGAAGGAAGTCGCTGGGGGAGCGGAGGGGCGTGCTCAGGCCTCCCCGTGACCTCGGCCTCCAGGATGCCAGCAGCATCGTTTTCCTCTGTGATCTGCACATCCACTTCCCGCCCAACATCCTGGACGGCATCCGCAAACACTGCGTGGAGGGCAAACTGGCCTTTGCGCCCGTGGTCATGCGCCTGGGCTGTGGGAGCTCGCCGGGGGACCCGCACGGTAATGCCCTGGATGCCCCCCCATGCCCCAATAACACTGGGAGTTCCACCAACGGCAGGGTGAGGCCCAGGCCCCTGGGGGCCTCTCCAAACCCTGGAGGTGGAGCTGGGGATCCATCAATGCCCCGCCTATTGCCTAGGACCCCAGAGCCTCCAGTGTCATGCCTGGGAACCTCCTCCAGCACCCCAGTCGTGTGCAGGGCCACAGGTTATGACCCCACACAGAAGAGGGACTCTTGACACCCCTCTGAGGATGGGACCCTGCAGCAGACCCCCTCCGGAGGCTGGGGAGGAAGGCTTGCAGGTTCTGGTGTCTGAAGGGCACCTTCCTACCCAGGTTACTGGGAGGTGAATGGCTTCGGCCTCTTCGGGATCTACAAGTCAGACTTCGACCGCGTCGGGGGCATGAACACTGAGGAGTTCCGGGACCAGTGGGGGGGCGAGGACTGGGAGCTCCTGGACAGGTGACTGCCCCCCATCTCGGGGACTGAGGATACCTCCTCTGAGCGGGGAGGGTACCCCAGGGTCCTCACGTGCTGCAGGGACTTCCGCTTCGTATCCCAGGATCTGTGACCCCACCCCACCCCACCCCACACCTCTTCCTAGCTCTAGGGTTCTGCAGACTCGGGAACAGCCTTGCAACAAATTGTGTCCCCAGATCCTGTAGGCCCAGTGGTGGCCCTGAGTCCCCATCTCCCACTGGGGTCCCACAGTAGTGGAAGGCCTGACACCCCTAGCCCTTGGGCCAGGGTCCTGAGCACTTCCATGCTGCCCTGCCCCCAGGCTCCGGAAGAGCCAGGGCAGCCACAACTATCCCCCTACCACCCAGATCCTATAGGCACCCCTCTCCAGGGTCCTGACACCCCCTTTCCACCCAGGGTCCTGCAGGCAGGGCTGGAGGTGGAGCGACTCCGAGTGCGGAATTTCTACCACCACTACCACTCCAAGCGGGGAATGTGGGGCGCACGTGGCCGGAAGGGCTCCCGCACCGAGGGATCCTGAAGACCAGGCAACCCCCTCCCGGCCCCTGGCCGCCGTCCCGTGGTGGGGGCTGGAGGCCGGGCCCTGAGCCTGGTCCCTGGGAACCCCGGCAAGGCTTATCGCAGGGGAATGGCCACCACCTGTGCCTGGCCCAGCGAGGCCACCGCCCCCTTTGTGCCCCTCCCCAGAGAGGCAGCCTTCACAGCTGGTTGGGGCCCGGGCTTGGTCTCCACACTCTGCGCGATGATTTCTGTGAAATTTTGCTGTAGCGATGACGTTGTTTTCAGGATTTCCGAGAGTTCTGTCTGTTCCGTTTTTTATTCAGAATGAAATGAAATATTTTTTTTAGTTCTGACTTGTCCTCTGCCTGGTTCTCTTGGGAGGGCAGAGATAAGCCTCAGTGACTGCCAGGAGCCCTGCCCTCACGGGCACTCTCTCTGCCCCTGAGGCCCCTTCCTGTCCCACAGCAGCGGCGGCTACCGACCCCACCCTCTCCCGAGACCACTCTCTTCCTGCCCTCTCCTCTTGACCTTCAGAGGTGGGACCTGGAGGTGAAAGGGCTTCGGGCCTCTTTCCTGCTGCTCGGTGCCCGTGGAGTCATGTGGCCACCAGTGACAGACACGGGGCAGGGCCTGCACAGCTTTGAGAAAAGAACGTTCGGTCATTTCACTCCTTTTGAAAACAGAACTTGGATGTTAGCCCTACCCGGTCTTCCTAGAAGGTCAAGGTGAACTCGGCACCCGTTCTGTGGCCACGTTGGGAGTGGCACTCAGGGCTGAGCTGCCAGAAGCAGGAAACCCAACTCAAGCTGGTTTACGCCATGATGGGGGTGGGGGGGGGGGGGGGCGTGATTCTTTTACTTCTGTTCGTGTCAGTGGAAGTTCAGGGTCAGGAGCACACTAGGAGAGTGCTGACCCAGAGGCTGGATGATGCTGTCGAGGCCCAGCCCCTCCCTGGGGGTCTCAGCTGTCTGAAGATGGGTCCCAGCGCTCTGCCTGGTACTAAGCAGCTGCCTATATGAGGTCCTTGTGGCTGCCGTGACAGATTTCCAGAAACACAGAATGTATGACCTCCATGTTCTGTAGGTCAGAAGCCCAAAAACAAGGTTTCTGTGGCCCGATCTGGAGGCTTTAAAAAAATTTTTTTAACATTTATTTATTTTTGAGACAGAGACAGCATGAACAGGGGAGGGTCAGAGAGAGGGAGACACAGAATCTGAAACAGGCTCCAGGCTCCGAGCTGTCAGCACAGAGCCCGATGCGGGGCTCAAACTCACGGACCGCGAGATCGTGACCTGAGCTGAAGTCGGCCGCTAACCGACTGAGCCACCCAGGCGCCCCTGGAGGCTTTAGAGATGAATCTGCCTTGTCCTGTCCCCACTTTTAGAGGCCACTTGAGTTCCTTGGCTCAGGGCTGCTGCTCATGTCAAAGCCAGCAGCTTCAGAGCCCTCCCTTCCTGTGTCTGTCACCTCTGCTTCCATCATCACATCTCTCTGGCCCTCCTGCCTCCCTCTTGTAAGGACATGTGTGGTTACGCTGCTCCCCTCCATTATTCCCGGATAATCTCCCCATCTCCACCAACATTCTTTACGTAATCACATCTGCAAAGTTCTTTTTGCCATGTCAGTTGACAGCCACAGGTTCCAGGGTTAGGGCCTGGATTCTTTGGGGCCATAGTTCTCTGTACCTCCTCACTGACATTCAGTGGGAAGGCAGTACATGCACCCAGCAGCCCAAATAACCCTTGTGAGATTGACCCAAGTTGTCTCCTTAGGTCATACCTCACCATGAACATGGGGCAGCAGGAAAGATTCCAATGAAAGAAGAACCAGATGGATACCACCATCTGGCCCTGAGAAGACTCTAGAAATGACCCTGCTGGAAGGGACATTGACCACTGCCACTGCTGACCAGGGTAGCCAGCAGATGTGTGTAGACACCAAGTCCCATGTAATAACGTGGGCCTCACAAGTCCTGCGGGTCCACGGAGCGCGAGTGCCTACAGGGCAGAGGACACCACCACGCTGCCACATACCTGCTCAGAAGCTACCAGATGCCTTTAGCTCACACTGCCCACTTCTCCCCAAGTATCTAGTTCAAGTATCTAGTGAGTGGGAATTTTCTGCACTCACAGATATTTCATAACAAGAAAAAAACGAGTGCTGGATTTAGAAATACATTCTCAGGGCGCCTGGGGGACTCAGTTAATCCCACTTCAGCTCAGGTCATGATCTTGCAGTTCATGAGTTCGAGCCCTGTGTCAGGCTCTGTGCTGAGGGTTCAGAGCCTGGAGCCCGTTTAGGATTCTGCGTCTCCCTCTCTCTCTCTGCCCCTCCCTGGTTCACACCCTGTCTCTCTCTTTCAAAAATAAATAAACATTAAAAAAAGGAATACATCCTCTAAAGGGCAGGGGGCATGCAAGCAACAGGCAGATGAAGCCTCACACCAAAAAAAAAAAAAAATTACTTCCAGAAGCAGAAAAAATCTCAAAATCACATATAATCTGGACTATACATAAACCATAATTTATTAATCCATTTTAACAACTGTTCATTGAACACCGACTGTGTTAGGTGCTGAGGAAAGGTGAACAAAAGAGACAAGAGTCTGTCCTTGTAGAACTTGGCAGATGAGAGACAGAATAAGAAAACGTCTAGCATATTAGATGGTGGCAACTGTTGTGGAAAAAATTAAGCCAGGAAAGGGAATAGTAAGTTTGAGTGAGACTGCAGTTGTAAACAGTGGTCAGAAAAAGCAAGTCTGGGAAGGTGACATCCCAGAAAAGATCTGAAGGCTGTAAAGCTACCAAGGATGCCACTGGGGGTACAAGGGCTCAGAGGTGACACTTGAGGACTTTTTTTTTTTTTTTTTTTTTTAATTAGCAGTAAATGCCTCTCACCACTCCGTTTCAACAACATTGGAAGTACAGCTGACTTCCAGGTTAGGGGCAAAATCCCTGCACAGTCAAACATCTGTGCGTAACTTTTGACGCCCCCAAAAGTTAACTACTTACAGCCTACTGTTGACGGGCAGCCTTACCGATAACAACCAATTGACACATGTATTTTAAATATGTGTATTATATATTGTATTCTTGAAATAAGCTAGAAAAAATGTTATTAAGAGAATCATAAAGAAGAGAAAATACAGCACAGTACTGTATTTATTTTTTAAAAAATCCACCAATAAGTGGACCCGCACGGCACAAACCCATGTTGTTCAAGGGTCAACTGTACTAGCTAATGCAATAAGACAAGAAAAAGAAATAAAAAGTATACATAAGGGAAATAAAAGGGTTACATACATGAATGGCTTTGTTTGCTGATGATCATCTATGTAGAAAATCTAAAAGAATCAGCAAAAAAAAAAAAAAAAAAAAACAAAAAGAAAAAACCCTCCTGGAATTAATAAGCAATTGTAGCAATGTTGCAGGCTATAATAAGGTTAATACACAAAAGTCAATTGTTTTCCTATACACCAGCAATGAACAATTGGAATTTGAAATTTAAAAAAAAAATTTTTTTAACGTTTATTTATTTTTGAGACAGAGAGATAGAGCATGAATGGGGGAGGGTCAGAGAGAGGGAGACACAGAATCTGAAACAGGCTCCAGGCTCTGAGCTGTCAGCACGGAGCCCGACGCGGGGCTCGAACTCACGAACCGCGAGATCATGACCTGAGCCGAAGTCGGCCGCTTAACTGACTGAGCCACCCAGGCGCCCCTGGAATTTGAAATTTATAACACAATACCATTCACATTAATACCAAAAAAATTAGTTACTTCAGTTAAATCTAACAAAATATGCACGAGATCTATATGAGGAAAACTACAAGCCTGTAATGAACAAAATCAAAGAAAAATCAACTAAATGGAGAAATATCCGTGTTCATCAATAGGAAGACTCAATATTACCATGATGCCTGTTCTTTCCCAACTTGATCTGTAGATTCAATGCAATCCCACTTAAAACCATAGCAGGCTATTCTGTGGATATCAACAATTGATTCTAAAGTTTATACGAAGAGGCGAATGGCCCAGAATGGCCAACACAACACTGAAGGAGAAGAACAAACTTCGGTGGATGCCACCTGACTGAAAAGCTAGTGATCGAGACTGTGATGTTGATGGAAAGTAGACAAATAGGTGAATGGAACAGAACGGAGAGCTCAGAAACAGACCCACATAAACACGGTCCTTGACAAAGGAACAAAGACCGTTTCTTCAACGACATTGCTGGGCCAGCTGGACGTCCACGTGCAACAGACACAGACCTTAAACCTTCGCAAAGGTTAACTCGAAATGGATCCTAGGCCTTAATGTAAAACACGAATCTATAAAACCCTTAGAAGATAACATAGGAGAAAACCTGGATGACCTGGGGCATGATGATGACTTTTTAGACATGACACGAAAGGCATGGTCCATGAGAGTAGTAATTGGTAAGCAGGACTTCATGAACTTCCGTGAAAGACAGTATCGAGAGAATGAGGAGACAAGTCACAGCCAGGGAGGAAATATTTGCAAAAGACACATCTGATAAAGGACTGTTATCCAAAATACGGAAAGAACTCTTCAGACTCAATAATAACAAAATAAACAACAAAACAAAACATTTTTAAAATGTCTTTTTGTAGTTGTTTAATTATTTTTGAGGCAGAGAGAGACAGAGCGTGAGTGTGGGAGGGGCAAGGAGAGAGGGAGACACAGAATCTGAAGCAGGCTCCAGGCTCCGAGCTGTCAGCACAGAGCCCGATTCGGGGCTTGAACCCGCGAACGGTGAGATCATGACCTGGGCCGAAACCAGACGCTTAACTGACTGAGCCACCCAGGTACGCCAAAACAAAACATTTTTAAATAAACAGTAAAAAGTGGTCCAGAGACCTTGACAGGCACTTCACCAAAGAAGATACACGGATGGCAAGTGAGCACACGAATGGCCGCTGTGTGTCCTGCGTCATCAGGAAATGAAAATTAAAACGACGAGATCCTTCTACACACCTGTTAGAATGGCCCAAATCTGGAACACTGACAGCAAACGCTGACGAGGACATTGGGCACCAGGAACTCTGTCATTGCTGGTGGGAATACACACTGGTGTGGCCACCCTGGAAGACACTTGCCAGTTTCTCACACAGCTGAAAAGACCAGTGGTTATCAGGGGTTGTAAGGGTGGGGGAAGGGATGAGTAGGCCGAGGGTTTTAGGGCAGTGAAACCACTCTGGCTGACACAATGATGGGCACATGTCATTACGTATTTGTCCAAGCCCACAGAGTATGCACCACCAGTGTGGACTGTGGACTTTGGTGGTAATGATGTGTCCATGTAGGCTTGTGAGTCGTAACGAATGTATCAC